TGCATGAGAGCCTGGAGCTTGGAGAGTAGAGAAAGGAAGCCTAGAGGGAAAACTAGGAGAGAACAGTGACTGGAGGAGGGAAGCCAAGGGAACCCTGGTGCTAGGAGAGGATTAAGCCCATGCTGGGGAGCAGGAGGGAGCAGTGCCAAAGTAAATAAATGTGGTGCCCCCTTTAAACCCCCCAACTTCTTGCCCTTGTCTCAGTGAATTCCTAGGGAGCTTGCCTTAGGAGGCTCCCTACACTGCTCCCTATATCTGCTATTCCCACATTCATAAATGGGATTCCTAAGACCCAGAAATTCTACGCTTAGGTATACAGTCATGAAAAATGAAAACATATGTCCACATAACATGTAAATTAATGTTCACAGCAGTATTCATGATATCCAAAAGGCTAAAACAACCCAAATGTTCATCAACTAATAAATGGTTAAAGAAAATTTGGTATAGTCATACAAAGGAATATTATTTGGCTATAAAAAGAAATGAAGTCCTGATATATGCTACAACAAAGATAAACCTTGAACATACTAAGTGAAAGAATCCAGACACAAAGGACTGCAAATTTTATGATTCCATTTCTACAAAATGTCCAGAATAGGCAAATCTTTCAAGGCATGTAGATTAGTGGTTACCTAGTGCTGGGAGAATGAGGTAAGTGGGTTGAGGACTAAGAGGTGTAGAATTTCTTTTGGAGGTAAATCATTAGGTTCTAAAATTCTCTGCAAGTGTTTTAGTATACTCCTTATGAATTTTCTGAAAAGGTGATTTAGTTTTAATTATGCTAGCACCTTGATTAACTAGTACTCTGAACCTTAAAGAACTGGCACCATGATAAAACTTGAAGTTATAGGCAAAAGCTGAGGAACAAGAAAATCTTGAGATATATATTCAAAAGCTAGCCATCTTATGCCTACAGACCCTTTCCTATCTACATCTTTGCTACCACCCACTGAAATCATTACCATCTTATGACAGAGTAGTAAGATTTCCTAATTGGTCTTTTTTGTTTTAATTTCTGTCCCACAGTGACAAACTACATTCACAGATACATTTGCACACCCTTACCTCATGTCCTAATGAATTAAAAACTTCTAGTGGTACTGTACTCTTAACAGCTAAAGTCTAAACATCCAAACCTGGCACTCCAGGTCCTTCTTAATCAATAGTCACCACTTATCATTTTGCACTCTCTTAATCTAATTCCTAGGTAGATATCCTTCACTCTTACAGCTTTAACAATCACCTACACTGCTAATGACATCCAAATCTAGACCTCATGTCTCAACATCTACTCTGAGAGTGAAAATCAATTCACTTGAATGTCTTCCAGAAGTACTTCACAGGCTCTGGAACCAGACTGTGTTTCTCAACTTCAACACTGACTATCTGTGTGGCCCTGGAAAAATGTAATCTCACATGAAAATAAACATAATAATTATACCTATTCATTGGGTTAATGTGAAGATTAATTCCTATATTTAAATTGTTTAGGATAGTGCCTGTTGTGTGGTAACTGCTCAATAAATGTTATTAGATAAAATAATTACTATTCACCAAACTGAATGTATCTTCCTATCTGACTTGGTCCTTCTGCGCTTTTTTCTATCACCAGTTAGCTGCTATAACCAATAACTTGGGACTCCTAATTGCCTCCTCAATTTTTTCTTTTTACACATATTAAATAAAGAACCAAGATCTGATAATTTCACCCCTTTATAACTCTTAGTCCTAATTTTCATCCCTTTTCATATTATCTATATAGTATTTCAGGCCTTCTTCCAAGAACTGTACCAGTCCCCTTCACGATTTCCCTTCCTATGATCTTGTCCTCTACAAATCTATCTAAATTATCACAGGATCAATATATATATATATATGTAAGGAAAATTAACATAAATAAATGAATTGCAAATTTGACTAAGTCATGCCCTTATTTACAACTCTACAATGGCAATTCAATACCTATATACTAAGGACCTTAGGTCCAAGCCCAATGCTCTAAATAGCCCTCTCTACTTACCTAATTCATTAATATCTACTAACTTGTTTACTTATCTAATTTCTACTTTTCAAAGCTATTGGTGATTAGTGAATGCCTGAGATTTACTATAATATTTGTACAGGTCTCAGTCTATATTACCCTGAATTTTACTTCTTTTATGAAAATATTTTATTGCACAAACTGGGTTTAATGCTCCTCAAATTCACAGACCATAGCTTGTATATTTTCATATCCTCTAACTCATTATTTTTTAATATACAGATCATGACCAATAAGAAATCAAATTAGTGAGTTGCAAACAGCATTTAAAAAATAAAATAGAATAAGAAATATCAGAAAAGATTACACATAGTAAGAATAAAGTGCCACTTATCAATCCACTGCCTTCAGCTTCGACTGATCTTCCAGTTGGCTTCCCCAAAGCATGGTGAGCAGCAGCATGCAGCACCTTCCCATGGCAACCTTCCTCCTGTCATCTCCTTAGGTATGGAGTGCTACCCATGTGGATTTTCATGAGAAAAGTTTTCCCTAACACCCCCAAGCTATTTTCCAGCAAGTTGTTGCTGATATCGCATCCACTCCTATGGATGGTCCTCTTATGTCATCAGGCAGCTTTTCCATGAATTTTGAGGCACTACAATGCCTCATGGATGACATCCTAGCATTCCAGAGAACAATTTCCTCAACTCCCCTGTAAGTCACCCCAGTATGGCACTTCAGCTAAGTTTTCCACCATCCAGTAACCTACAGCCATGCCCTTACCAATAAAGTCTGGATCTCTGTTCAGGGGCAGAGGGAAGGAGGGAATTCCAGATTAATTCCTTCCTTGTGTGCTCTATTTCATCCCTAAATGTAGTGACTACTACCTATATCTGCTATTCCCATATTCGTAAAATTTCTGATACTCTCTTATTAGCCAATCACCCACTACTACAATCCCTTGTTATAATTAGTAATTCTTTGTATTAACTGTCTCTGTTCAAATTTCTGGTTTCTTCTCTGGATTGGGCCATGACTGACACAAGTATTGTTTTGTGGACTTTTGTCTCAATTGTGTGTGTGTACTAGGTTATGATTATAAAATCCATTTTGAAAATTCTACTTCATGAATAATGGGCAGTTAATAAAAAATGAAAAGTTTCTAAACATTGGTTTAAGAATAATAGGTATTTCTCCAAAGCAAAACTTTGACAAAATAATTTAAAAAGATCATGATAAGAAAGAATGTTTAAATAGGGCATTATGATCACACAAATAGCTCTTTCAGTTTTATAATGAAGTCTCATTTAATAAAATATATAAAATATGGAAGAGGGGGCACTTGACAGAGGATAAAAACACAAAAACCACAGCAGAACTCTGAGAACTGTATTAGGAAGATTAAAACCTAGAATGAAATTAAGGTTACAAAAAATGGTAACAATACAAAATGGCTTATTGAAGATAGGATCTGAAAAAAACATGCAAGTAATGGGTTCATTGTTTTGGGCATATGGAATCATATAAGATAAAAAAAGTAGAACTACTCAAGTTGTCTCTTGTTCTATTTTCTCTTTGAAGAATGTTTATCAAACTAGATAAGGTAGACAAACATGGTTTCAATTCTCATGAGAGAATTGAAGTGCATTATGATAGGTGAGGAAAGAGTAAAAGAACAACTAACTCTTCTAATGTAAATCAAACTTTCAAACTAGATACATTATAAACTGGGACACTGAAATAAACTGCTACTAATTTGAAAATAGGAGAGGTGTCAGAACATGGAATATAAAGTTTTCTGGTTTTCTAAAAGGGATGAAAGGTAAAAACCAAAAATTATATAAACTCTATAATGGTGAAAGTAATATGAAGTCTGAGCAAAGTTCTAGAATGAATTACTAAATAAATGGTTCATTAATACCTAGAAAGGAAACTGGTGTTTAAAACAGCTAACATTAATCCAGTAGAACTAGTATCACCAAATTAAACTTTACTGGTTACATTATTAGACTGAAAGATAAAAATGCATAACAGAGATATCTTCTTCAGTTAAGTATTTGAAAAATTTCTCATGCTATCCCAAATTTAGATCATTTAGGTGGATTTGTAACTAGAAAAATCCAAAGAAAATGATGAGTAGTAAATTGATATCAACTTGGAAAAAAGTATCTAGGCACACACCAGTAAGGGTTCATTCTTGGCCTTTCATCATCAATACTTTTAGCAATTTATGTGCAAAGAAGGATGCTAATCAAATCTCAGTTGGATGGCTAGAAGGATGCATAAGGCAACATGGCATAGTACAATGGTTCTCAATATTTTTTGTCTCAAGATTCTTTTAAATTCTTGAAAAGTTTAGGGGACTTTTGATTATGTGGATTCTGTCGATATTACTCATATTAAGAATGAGAAATTTAAAACATTTTAATACATTTAAATTAATAAACCCATTGCATGTTAATACACATATTATATAAAAATAATTACCTTTAAAAATAAATCTTACATAGCAGAAAATAATGAGAAAAATAGCACTGTTTTACATTTTTGCAAATTGCTTTAATGTTTTGTTTAACAGAAGACAGCTAGATTTCTCATATCTGCTTCTGCATTCAAATCTGTTGCAAAATGTCATTTGGGTTGAAGTTTATGAAGAAAATTCCAGTCTCACACAAATACGTAATTGGAAAAAGGTACAATATTTTACTATGCTTTTCTGATAATTCTGGGTATTTTTTTTTATGCTGTAACAAAACTGAACAAATGGTAGTTTCTTAAAGGTTGGCTCCAATGTGACATCTTAACAATCTCAACTAACTTTTGGGGAATATTAGGAAAATTTATTTAGAGAGGCTGAAATGATAGCATGATAATTTGAACAGCTAGGTTGTACAATGAATGACTTGAAAATTCCCTTTTGATGTGCCTTGTTCTTTCATCAAACTTGGTAAAATATACAAGTGATTTTTCAACATGTGATTATTCCTCACTTTCACATGTTTAAAAAATCCTTATGATCTCTGACACAGTTTCTTCCAGAACAAACTTTCCTCTTCTCCCCTAGCAAGTCTTTATAGGCTCTGGACTCAGGACAGGAGGTAACTCATATGAGTGCTTCTTTACTGGGATCAAAGATGTTTTATTAGTTTATTGCATTCATATTTGTTATCTGTCTTACACTCTGCCTCATGTATTTTGAAGCTCTGTTGTTAGGCACATATACATTAAGGACTGTTATGCCTTACTGGAGAACTGACCTTTATCTTTATCACTCATAATTTTCTTTGCCATTAAACCTGCTGTCTGAAAGTAATATAGCTACTGCAGCTTTCTTTTGATTAGTGTTAGCATGCTATATTTCTCTCCCTTTCTTTACATTTAATATATATATATTATATATACTACATTACATATAATATATAAAATATTCATGATTCTTTACATTTAATATATATTATACATATTACCATATATTATATATATTATTATATATTATATATATTACATATTACATTTTATATATATATATAAAATTCTCATATGATTCCATTTTCTCTTCTTTCTTAGCATATCAATTATACTTATTTTTTTAACTTTATTGGTTGCTCTAGAGTTTGCAATATATATTTGTAACTAATCCAAGTCCAGTTTCAAATAGCATTATAATGCATCACAGGTATTACAAGTGTCTTATGATAACAAAGTATTCCGAATTTCTCCCTCATATTCCTTGTTTCATGGCTGTCAGTCATTTTGCTAAACTAATCTATAATCATTCAATACATTATTGATGTTCTTTTGAGCAAACATTTATCTGTTAAGAAAATTAATTTTCCTTTTACCTTTATTCCTTCTCCAATGCTCTTTATGTAGATCTGAGTTTCTGACTTACTTCATTTTCTTTTTTTCTAAAGAACTTTTAATATTTCTTACAGGGCAGAGTTTATAAAGACAATAAGCTCCTTCTATTTTGTTTATCTGAGAGTCCATTTCACCTTAACTTTTGAATGATAATTTTTCAAGGTACAGAATTCTAAGTTGGCAGATTTTTTCTCTCTCAACACTTCAAATATTTCAATCTACTCTACTCCTTGTGTGACTTCTTCCGAATATAATTCTTATCTTTGTTCTTTCATAGGTCAGGTGTTTTTTCCTCTGGATTTTTTATTTATCTTTGATTTTCTATGATGTGCAGGTTTAGTGGGTTTTTGGCATTAAACCTGCCTGGTGTTCTCTGAGCTTCCTGGAACTATGGTTTGGTATCTGACATTAATTTGGGGAAACTCAGGCAATATTGCTTTAAATATTTCTTCTTTGTTCTTCTCCTTCTGATTTTACCATTAAGCATATATTACACCTTTTGTACCTGTCCCAAGGCTCTTAGATATTCGGGGATCTGAGGCTGTTATTTTATTTTATTTTTGCTTTTCAGTTTTAAAGGTTTCTATCAACATATCCTCAAACTCCTAGTCTTTCCTCACTTGTATCATTTACTAATTATTCCATCAAAGGTGTTCATTTATATTACTGTTTTTTTATCCCTGGCATTTCCTTCTTATTCTGTTTAGAATTTCCTTCTCCCTGCATGCAACACCCATCTGTTTTTGCATGGTTTAGTTTCTCCATTGGAACCCTTAGCATATTAATAGCTATTTAAAATTGTTGGCCTAATAATTCTGGAATTCCGACATCTGGCTTATTCTGATGCTTGCTCTATCTCTTCAAATTGTGATCTTTGCCTTTTAGTTGAAAGTTGGATATGATGAACTGGGTAAAACGAACTGTGGTAAGTAGGTCTTCAGTAAAGTGGGAGAAATGTGGGGGGAGGGGAAGGTTTCTTTCTATAATCTTATGATTCAGTCTCAGTCTTTTAGTGAGCCTGTGTCCTGATTGTTCTGCAGTTTTTTATCCCTCTTTGGTGGGACAGGATGGTGAGAAGAAACAAGAGTTGGATATTTCCCTTCCCTCAGACCAGTTAGGCTCTGATAAAACCCTAGTGGATTATACTCTAGTAAAACAGTTTCTCTTAAGGGCATGCTAAGGAGGACAGACTATTCTGGCATATTTCAAAATGGCTACAGTTCTCTTCCCACTACTGAAAGCAGGAGGGGATTTTTCTGCTATCTTTACTGTGAGAGCATAATAGAGCTCCTAGAGGTAAAGGTTATAAAAGTGTGGGTAATGCACCTTTAAGACTGGGCCCCCTGGAGTTTTTAACTCATACATATCCACATTAAGCCCCTAGCTATTTGTCAATTACAGTTCAGCAATTCCTACTCCAGTACTGATACCTGCAGATATTTCAGCTTCAGGATCTCTGCTTTGTTGTGTTGTGATATCTGTATCTGCCTGTTTATCTCTCCAATGGTGGAAGGTTTGTGATGTACCCTGTGACCTCAATTTTCTGTTGGATCTAAGCTTGTGATTTTCAAACAGTTCATATTTTTACTTGTTGTTGGGATGGAGTAATGACTTCCAAACATCCTATATATTAGAGTAAAATACAGAAATGCTTGTCTTGAACTTAGAATGCATCTTTCTTACTCATGCATGATTTTCTAACATCAAGTTTTAATCACTTGAATTTATTCACTGAGTTGTAGATCTTCCAAATGACCTATTTCACTATACAACATAAAAAGCACACTTCATTTAATATAACCAATGATCTCATCAGAAAAGTTTTAAATATTGGAAAGCTGTCAAGCTCATGGTAATGGACATATATTTTCCAATTTTCATTTTCACATGAAGGTCCAAATTTTATCAATTGTAATAAATACTCCATTGTTTGCCTTGAAATTACAGAAAGAGAAATCGGGAAAACAATTCCATTTACAATTGCATCATGATAAAAAGTAACGAAGACACCAGTAAATGGAAATACATCCCTTGTGCATGGATAGGAAGAATTAATATTGTCAAAATGGCCATCCTGCCTAAAGCAATCTATAGATTCAATGCAATACCTGTCAAAATACCAACAGCATTCCTTAATGAACTACAAACAAATAGTTCTAAAATTCATATAGAACCACAAAAGACCCTGAACAGCCAAAGCAATCCTGAGAAGGATGAATAAAGCTGAGGGGATTACACTTTCCAACTTCAAGCTCTACTACAAAGCTACAGTAATCAAGACAATTTGGTACTGAAACAAGAAAAGATCCATATATTAATGGAATAGAGCAGAGAGCCCAGATATAAACCCACACATACATGGTCAACTAATAAATGATAAAGGAGCCATGTATATACAATGGGGGAAACAACAATCCCTTTAACAACGGGTGTTGGCAAAACTGGACAGCTACATGTAAGAGAATGAAACTGGATTACTTGCTGACTCCATATACAAATGTAAACCCAAAATGGATCAAAGACCTGAGTGTAAGTCATGAAATCATAAAACTCTTAGGAGAAAACTCACAAAAATCTCTTGAATATAAACATGAGCAACTTTTTCCTGAAAACATTTCTTTAGGCGAGAGAAACAAAAGCAAACATGAACAAATGAGACTGCATCAAACTATAAAGCTTCTGTACAGCAAAGGACACCATCAGCAGAACAAAAAGGCATCCTACAGTATGGGAGAATATATTCATAAGTGACAGACCCAATAAGGGGTTAACACCCAAAGTATATAAAGAACTTACATGCTTCAACACTCAAAAAGCAAATAACCCAATTAAAAAATGGTCAGAGGATCTGAACAGACACTTCTTCAAAGAAGAAATTTAGATGGCCAACAGGCATATGAAAAGATGCTCCACATCGCTATTTATCAGGGAAATGCAAATTAAACCACAATGAGATATCACCTCACACCAGTTACGATGGCCAACACCCAAAAGACAAGGAACAACAAATGCTGGCGAGGATGTGGTTAAAGGGGAACCCTCCTACTCTGCTGGTGGGAATATAAATTAGTTCTACCATTGTGGAAAGCAGTATGGAAGTTCCTCAAAAAACTCAAAATAGAAATACCATTTGACCCAGGAATTCTACTCCTAGAAATTTACCCAAAGAAAGCAAGATCTCAGATTCAAGAAGACATATGAACCCCTAAGTTATTGTAGCACTATTTATAATAGCCAAGATATGGAAGCAACCTAAATGTCTATCGGTAGATGAATGGATAAAGAAGGTGTGCTACATATACACAATGGAATATTATTCAGCCATAAGAAGAAAACAAATCCTACCATTTGTAACAAAATGGATGGAGCTAGAGGGTATTATGCTGAGTGAAACAAACCAGGTGGAGAAAGACAAGTATCAAATGATTTCAGTCATTTGTGGAGTATAACAACAAAGCAAAACAAAGAACAAAACAGCAGCAGACTCACAGACTCCAAGAAGGGACTAGCGGTTACCAAAGGGAAGGGGAGTGGGGAGAGAAGAGGAAGGGGATTAAGGGGATTTATGATTAGCACACATAATATAGGGGACTCATGGGTAAGGTAGTATAGCACAGAGAAGACAAGTAGTGACTCTATAGCATCTCACTATGCTGATAGACAGTGACTGCAATGGGATTGTGTGGGGGGACTTTATAATATGGGTGAATGTAGTAACCACAGCTGCTCCTGTGAAACCTTCATATGATTGTATATCAGTGATACCTATTTCAACAAAAAATAAAAACACAAGGGGGAGAGTAAAAATGAAGGGGTTTTAGAATGTACTCAAGCTTAAGTTGCCATCAATGTAAAATGACTGCTGCATAAATAGATTGTTATATGTTGACTTCAAAGTAAACACAAAACAGAAAACTACAACACACAGAAAATAAAGTGAAAGGAACTCTAGCATGACACTAAAATATGTATCAATCCACAAGAGTAGCAAGCAAGAGAAGGAGCAAAGAACTTCAAAAACAGCAAGAAAATTTATCAAAATGGCAATAAGTGCATACTTATCAATAATTAATGCATATGAACTAATTTTTCCAAGCAAAGGACAGAGTGGCTGAATGGATAAAAAAAAAAAACAAGACTCATCTCTATCCTGACCACAAGAGACTTACTTCAGATATAAAGATACATACAGACTGAAAGTGAAGGGATGGGAAAAGATATTCCATGCAAATGGAAATGTAAAGACAGCTGGGGTAGCAATATTTAT